GGTGGCAAGCCACTCCTACAAAGGAGGCCACACCCACAGAGTAGGTTCAAACAATTTTTGAAACCCACCACTGATTGTAATGTATTAAATTTTCAATAAGAGGTTTTTTTCCAAAAATAAAAAATAAACTAGACATTTAGATATCCAACATATTAAAAGGCTCTACCAAGTAAAATCCTGTCCCAGATGGATATAATGAAATATTCACACAAGGTAGCCAGAAGGAAGCCCTTTTCTTTTTCTGTTTACTCTTTCAAAATTCAGGAGAAACAAATTTTCTCATATTTCAAAAACTAAAATATATATAACTACCAGAGCAGGGCTAGAAGCCCCCTACAATAATTATAATAATAAAACAACCTGCTTAGGGCCTTGTTGTATAAACTCTTGTTCCAAAGCTGTATCAACCTCTGTTAATAGTAATATTGGTGTTAGGGTATAGTATATAGAATAGAATGGAATGGAATGGAATAAATAATAATGTTATGACTAGAGAGCTAAAATGGAAACCCAATTCATTAAATTAGGAACATGCAAACAGGTACGTTCCCAACATTTATTAAAAATGGTACATAATTGAATTTCTTTCAATGTATTCATGTAATGGAAAGCATGGAATTAAAGTGAACCAGACTACAATTATCTATTTTAATAATTTTCTGTGTATGAGATTAAAAATTAGAGGCACACATTTGTAGAGCATATGTGTGGAACTTGGAGTATAGATTGTGTTCCTCTAATCTTTAACTACACAGTATAATTAGTCAGAGTTAAGTCAGTCAACTAATTTTAGAAGCAAGAAAGGGCAGCATATTCTGGTCTCTTTTTTCCTGCCAGGGAGGGGGAGGGAAGGGGTAAACATAAGTGTTTTTTTTGCATCAGGTATCCAAATTACCTGATTGACTGGATATTATTTTTTGGTTTATTTTTTGATGTGATTCATTTGCTCCTTCAATTAATCATTTGATCTTAATTCAGTCAAGCTCCCCAGTAGTTAAAACTGTGATATTTATCCTCTCCTTCCCGGTTAAGATAGAAAAAAAGATTAGCTCTGTAAAAATACCAGGAAGTGAGAAGTTCGCCCTGACCAAATTAAGTTGCTGCAAAAGAAAATAAAAACAATTTTCAGCATAAATAGGCTTACGGGATTGGTTTTAGCATGAATCACATTTTTTTTTTCCTCAGCATAGGCTCAGAAGTGCTTTGATTGTAGATATCTTCTTAGCACCTTGATTCCCCAAAATCTCAAGGACGTTTCTGGTATAGAATTCTGCAAAATAGGACTTGATGGCTGAAGACATCCCGTTAAATGTTAGGTGTTTTTTTTCCCCATCCTTGAATTTGCCATCAGAAGTCACCTTTCCATAACTGGTAAAAGACTAGGATGCCTGATTTCTCCCCTCTTATCTCCAGCACTGCAAATGTTCAGTAACTCCCATTCTATTTGCAACCACTCATGATTTCACTGACCTACTACTGTGGGTTCTAGGTCCACCATAACAGCTCGTGGCACGTGCTTCCCCGTGCGGGTTTCACTGAAGAATGTGGTAAAGGAGTCATCATTATTAAACTTGTTGGGTTCGGCCTGAAAGGTGCCATCTGGCTGGATGCCGTGTTCCAGACAGAACAGCTCCCAGCATGCATTACCAATCTGTACGCCAGCTTGACCAACATGAACCGAGATGCATTCACGCTGTGAGGGGAAAAAATAAAGATAAGATTAGAAGAACAGGACGCATACAATGCCCGTTTATCTCCCCTTCCCACTCTTCTAGAGAAAATTATCATTAGGCCTTCAGGGATAGAGGACTTCTTATTTTCAATTCTTCAATCCAACTTGGAACTCTTAAGAGAATTCGGATGAATACCCCATCATTTCCACTTCATAACAAACAACTGGGTTGACTACGTCCACCAGATCATGTCCATCACCACAGTTGCAGGATACCATGTTGGAGAAGACTAATCTAGACAGTGATGTAAAATTTCTGAGCAGCAATATCTGTGTAATCAAAATGAACAATATCTGTGAAACCACTCAGGAAGAAGATAAAGATGCTAGCAGTCTTGGGAAAGCCCTTATTTTGAAGAAGTACAAACAATATTGACAAGAGTAACCAACACTTGCAAAATGCAATGAGGAACAAGATTAAATTTTGGCCATAAAATGCTGTTGGTCTGTTAGAGGATAACAGCAGTGAAGAGGGAAATGGCATATTTCTACACTGGGCTGGCTCAATGTTTTTATTGCGGTGATTAGTCTGTAAATAATTAAATTATGGATGCTATTTCAATGATAGAGCCAGTGGTTAAGGCCCTTGGCCAAAAACTCTGTGAGTTCTTCTCCCACCTTAGGCACAAAGACAACTGGACAAACTCTCAGCCCTAGGAAACAGACAATGACAATGCACTTTCAAAATCTGGGCCACAGCCAGCATACATTTTTTCCCCCAGCAAAAATAGCATAATAATAATAATGAAACAATGAGCATTTTTCAGGATTTGTTAAACATTCTTAGGTTTCATCTGCATACAAAAAGCAGATTTAATATCATACAGATTGTGATAAATCTCAATCCCATAATATGCGCAACGGGTTTGTTTTTATTTCTGCCTGGCTCTTAACTTAGCTAAATGATATTACTCCATGAACTGTAACTTAAGAAGGTTGTGGTCTTTGGATTCCTTAACCCATATGATTGATAGGAAGAGTGGCAATGCTTCCCTCCCCACCCCCCATCCACATTTTTTTTTTGTTATTTCTATTTCATATGTTTAACTTAAGAAATTAATGCTGGCCAGAGTCATTATACATTTACTGGCTATAAAGATCAAGTTAAACCATGCAAAATGAAGTTGGTTACAGTAATAAAAAAAAAATTAAGTTTCTCTTTTGTTTCTTGCAAAACTTCCAGCTTAGCAATTTGGAGTCATCAAAGTTGGATGGGAGGAAGGGACAGAAAGTTGGGAAATAGATTAACTTTCAAAGTTACCTAACAAAGAACGAATTAGTTCATGGTTTTAGTTCAAGTTCTAGGCTACATCATACAGTCAAGTAGTTAGTAAGCAGTAGTAACCCTTTTATAGGAAAAAGAAGTGTATTGCTCTAAGATGTGATGTTTAAGTATAGATTGCTTTGCTAAGCCATAGTGATCCAAATCACACATGCTAAAATCGTGTTCTCATCTTATCCAACTTCTTTGTGGCACCTTACGATACTTGAGGTTATGCTGCTGGATTTTGGTGGTCATTTTGGATATTTGAAGGGTGGGGAAGGGTGGAAATTTAGTGGCTTGCTCTCATTCCCAAACATAAAGATAAAAGTAAAGGTTCCCCTCGCACATATGTGCTAGTCGTTCCCGATTCTAGGAGGCGGTGCTCATCTCTGTTTCAAAGCCGATGAGCCAGTGCTGTCCGAAGACATCTCTGTGGTCATGTTGCCAGCATGACTAAATGCCAAAGGCGCACGGAACACTGTTACCTTCCCACCAAAGGTGATCCCTATTTTTTTACTTGCATTCTAACTGCTAGGTTGGCCGAAGCTGGGACAAGTAACGGGAGCTCATTCTGTTACACGGCGCTAGCAGGGGTGGGTTTCTCGCCCCGTTCCAACCGGTTCGGTTGGAACGGGGCCGGCGGCGTCCTCGTGCACGCA